TTAGAAACCAAGACTGGCCCAGCAAAGCCAATTTTATGTATGCTGTAAAGTCAGGCCCAGGCCATTAAGTTTTGTCAGGAATCCATCTAAATCCATCTATAACAGTGCCTTTATTCTTGTTGCTCTTAAGATGATATACTCCACACAAGAGTATGTCCAAGTGGAAGATCAATTGCAGTTATTTTGCTGAGTAAAGAGGTTTAATCTGTGGTACAGGAAAAAACAGATTCATTATATATCTTTCAGCTAGTAATCTAAGCAATAAAACACAACAAGGTGTGCATTATATCCAGAACAAAAGCTAACCAATTGTGAATACTGGAGAAGAAGGAAATGAGAGCTTCCCATCACTCAGTCAGATTGTGTATGTGTGTTCGACAGAGAGAAAGGAGAAGACTTGGTGGTAACAGGTTTTGATTGTTTCTGTTTCAGGGAACAGAATGGAACCCTTCCCACAAATTCATGTATTTATTTATTTATTATTTAAATTTGTACCCCACCCTCCCCGCCAAGGCAGGCTTAGGGCAGCTAACGTCATAAAGGCATCATAACAATAAAATCATAGACATCTAAAAGCAATTCATCAAACAATTCAATAACAATTCATTAAAACTAACTTACATTATATTAAAGTGCTAGCAGTTAACTTATAATATCAAAGATGGCCTCATACATTTTGTAGGTTTACTTGATATTCAGCTCATTGGTCTTTCTCAATTTTGGTCCGCGAGCACAGGCTATCAGTAATAGACCAGGCACCAGGCTTCCATTCTTATTAAGTTGATGGTATTAATAATTGTACGTGGTAATGCCTGTGGTGGTGGCAGTTCCTAGTTGAAAGCCTGGTGGAAGAGCTCCATCTTGCAGGTCCTGCAGAACTGTAAAAGTCCCGCAGGGCCCTGATCTATTCCGGGAGCTGATTCCACCAGTATGGAGCCATCACCAAAAAGGCTCTGGCCCTGGTTGCAGCTAGCCTGGCGTCCTTGGGACCTGGAAGGGCCAGTCGGTTTTGTGCCCCTGACCGAAGTGCTCTCTGGGGTATATATGGGGAAAGGCAGTCCCTCAGGTATGTCAGACCCTGGCCATAAAGGGCACCTTGAAGCAAATCTGGTATGCTATTGGCAGCCAGTGCAATGCCTTCATGACAGGCTAGATGTGTTCACTCATGGGGAGGCCCATCAGAAGCCTGGCCCCATGGCTTTTGCACTAGCTGCAGCTTCCGTATTTGCGACAAGGGCAGCCCTAAGTAGAGAGTGTTACAGTAGTCTAGTCTCGAGGTCACCATCGCATGGATCACTGTTGCAAGGTCATTGTGTCCGAGGAAGGGAACCAACTGCCTAATCAGCCGCAGATGGTAAAAGGCCGACTTGGCAGTGGCTGCTACCTGGGCCTCCATCGTTAAGGAGGCATTCAAGAGCAATCCCAAGCTCCTAACCTCCAGCGCTGGCACCAATGGCACCCCATCGAAAGTCGGGAGTGGAGTCCCTACTCCCAGTCTGCTCCGACTCAGGCACAGGACCTCCGTTTTCGTCGGATTCAATTTCAGTCGGCTCAGTCTAAGCCAACCAGCCACGGCTTGTAATGACCGGTCCAGATCTTCCGGTCTAGAGTCAGACCGGCCACTCAACATCAGATAGAGCTTGATGTCATCCACATACTGGTGACATCCCAGCCCATAGCTCCGGGCAATCTGGGCAAAGGGGTGCATATAGATGTTAAATAATATCGGGGACAGCACTGCCACTTGAGGCACTCCACATTCTGGTGGGTATCTCTGGGAGAGCTGTTCCCCTAACACCACCCTTTGTCCCTGACCATGGAGAAAGGAGGTAAGCCATTGCAAGGCAAGCCCCTGAACTCCTACGTCAGCGAGGCGGTGGATCAGTAACTGATGGTCGACCGTGTCGAATGCTGCCAACAGGTCCAACAGCAACAGTACTGCCAATCCGCCCCGATCCAGGTGCCTCCAAAGATCACCCTGGACTTCCTTGTCCCAAGCACTAACCAGGATCAACCACATTTCGTGTCTAAGATCTGACAAGTTTGGGCTAGACTGGGCCATCTAGATCAGGGCTCTTTGGACATAGTGCTTATTAATTGGTTTAATTATCTCTACTACAAAAATGTTTAGAAGGGATACATTATACACATTATGTATTTCAAACTTGGATCATCCTTACCTCTGGCTGAACAGTGTAAGTTTTTGAGTATCAATGTTTTTGTCAAAATGAATCAGAATTCTACATTTTATGTGCTGCATATACTTCCTTAAATCTGAGTCTTCTATACTCTAAATCCTGGAGACTATTCATTCTTCCAGTTCTGTATTGAAAGTCTGATATTTATCTCAACATTTGGATTTGGAAAATGAAATTTTATTCTAACTATTGATGGATGGTTTCGTAGGTATAGTGCACAGCAGCGATAAAGAATCTATTAGAAGATTTTTTAGAAATATGCAATCAGATATGGCAAATTCAGTTCCAATTCATTAAACTGTAAGAGAGGGGGTTATTTTAATATAATAGGGTGGAATTATTTCAGAACTTTGTTCAGTTTTCTAACAATTAGAATGGCAAATGAAAAAGGAAAATGAATGAGAAATTTGTACTATACATCACTTTCAAAGCATAAGATTGTCCTACTGATTAATACTTTGCTGACATGGTAAACTAGAGGAGAGAATTCATTTTACATGGCTTTTGTACTGTAAAGTACACTCTGTTTTTAGAAACTGTGCCCATTTTGTGATCATGGAAGGAGCTAATACTATTTAGGGATGGCATGAACCCCTCTCCACTGGGGAGTTTCGAACCTTCTTTTTTCCTTGAAAGTACATCCTAATTTCTCTGGCCTTTGCCATCTATGCACAGTGAAACCTGGAAGAAGGTATTGTGGAGGTGTTTACATTTCCCACTGTTCCCTTATGGGAATAATAGAAATTTCAGCAACATTTTTTAATGAGAGGTTTAAATTCAAATGCAAATAGTAAGTTTCCCAGTTAAAAGCCTCCTACTAGATGAGCACTTTGCAGCAAGTTTTGGATAGTCATGAAATACATTTGGGTTGGATCCTTCCATGGAGGAAGATTCCTCCTTCAGTAGAAGGGCACTGTGACAAGTAGGAGAGTGCAATTTTTTTTCTCTGTATTTTTCGGTTCAGGTCTATTGGACCTGGAAAAAAAATGCGATTCCAGGATTTTTTGGAAATCCTGAATTTTTGGGGGTCCAGTAGACCTGAACTGAAAAACACAGAGGGGGGAAAGGCAGTGGCAAAGCCGCTAAAAACAGCTGAGAGGGAGCTCAGGTGGGGCTCCTTTGGGCTGTCCCTTTAAACTGGACTGCCCAAAAGAGGTCACCAGGCAGCCGATCCTGCAGGGAGAACTCTGCCCTGGGGCTCTGCTGGATTGTCTGGTTTAAACCAGGCTTCCCAACAGCTCCCCTCCAGGAGTCGATCCTGCAGGGACAGTTCTCCCCACAGTCTTCGCTGGGGCTCTGCTGGGCGGCCCAGTTTAAATCGGACTGCCCAACAGAGCCCGCCAAGGAGCTGATCCTGTGAGGAGAGCTCTCCCCTCAGGCTCTGCTGGGGCTCTGCTGGGCAGCCCAGTTTAGACCCGGCTGCCCAACAGAGCCCACCCAGGAGGCGATCCTATGTAGTGAGTTCTCCTCGCAGGCTAAGCTGGGGCTGAGATCAGATTGCCCAACAGAGCCCACCCTGGAGGCGATCCTGCAGGGTGAGATCTTTCCACAGGCTCTGCTGGGGCTCTGCTGGGCAGCCCAGTTTTGCCAGTAATTCCCAAATATATCTGGGATTTTTTTCTAGGATTTATTTCCAGTTCTCCCGAAAAATCCTGGATTCATTTGGGAAGCCAAAATATACTTGAAAAATACCGAGAAGAGAAGCCTGATTTAATGCTTGTGGTTATAAACAGGCTTTCACTGCCTGGCCACCAGTTTGGATCCTTTCACACCCACATAGGACTCCACCCATAATAGCCTACCTTTTCCCAAGAATCAAACTAAGTGATGCCAGGTCTGCTCATCACCAGAGACAGGTGTTATAACCTGGTACTCTGTCCTGTCCCAGTGGTAAAGTTAAACCATTCTGCCACCCCAGCCAGAGCTCCCCTTTAAACTGTCTGCTGTGTTGCTGAGGCGGACCCAAATTGACTGCCGCTGTTCCTCCCAAAATCCCATCACCCCCCTGAAGGTGACTGAATGCTGGAGCAGCATTCCCGTAGCCTTGGTTGTAAAGTAGTTGGTTGGTTTTCAGTGGCAGGACAGCCTCCTGCCTTTCACAGGAATCAACATGGTTCCTCCTCCCAGGAGCAGCATTTGGGGGACATTTGGGGATGCAGTGGGAGTGGGGAGGCAAAAAAGTAGCATTCGGCTGGTCAAGCCAATATTTGTTTACAAAATTTTCACAGCATTCTTAGATCCAGTCTATAAATCTTCTTAGTTTTAAAGCCAAAGGCCTTGCTTCTGTTTTTCCTGTAGTGGTTATAATTACACTCAAGAAAAATGTGAAAGGGATTGAGAAAAAAAGCACTGGATCTCAAATTGAAAACAGTAAGCCCGAAAGGAAACTTTCAGAGACAAAACCGTCATCTAATCCAGGGGTGTCAAACTCACTAGAAATGTGTTATTTAAAGTTTTAAAAATCTTTAATTGTATTTGTCTGTGTCTTTTATAAAGTTTATAACTCCACTACCTGGCATTACGTCTTATGACACACGTTGCCCGGCCCAACAAGGTCTCATTTATGTCAGATCTGGCCCTCATAACAAATGAGTTCGACACCCCTGAATTCATTATGTTGAAACCAGGGCCTTAATATAAATTGCAGCTTGCTATTGTGTAAGCTTTAAATATGAATCTGTTCACAATCTTTCATTTATTCTTAATGAACTGTTCTTTTGTTCAGATTCCTGTTAACAGGAAGAAACAGGAAGAACAAAACACCCTGAATTTAACTAGTTTGTGACTATTTCTTCCACACAGGATCCAAAACCTACAGGAATACATCCCAAAAAAGGTCCCCAAGCTGGAGGGACCACCCTAACTATCAGTGGCACAAACTTGGACACTGGCTCGAGACAAGATGTTAATATTTCCCTTGGTGATGTGCCCTGTAAAGTGTGAGTATAAGGCACACATTTGCTGCAACTATATCTTGAGTTTTCCCCCTCTGATATGGTTCTAACACAGTATTTCTCAAACTGCACTCTGAGGAGACCCCAAGGTGTCCTCAAGTGGAGAACCACAAGTCATATGTAAGGACAGAGAGTAAGATGTTCTCAGTCCCTGCCATCTAACATGAAAATGGAGTACTCTTTGTTTTCTAGGAATGGAGACTGGTACCCTTTGCCTTGGGGGAAGGAGACTGAATTGGTATTCTTTCGTTGAAGTGCAGCCATTGGTGGAGTTACTGCCAGTCAGCTTCCAGATCACCTCACAGTACTTGTCAGAAAACAAGCTTATCAGTTGTTTCAGTCCAATAGTCCAGTCCTAGCTGAGTGGCACCAGGAAAGTAGACTCCAAATATAATCCTCATAGTTACTTCAGGTATAGTTGCAGTGGTTTCACTCTGTTTTACAGTGCAGCAGATTTTTTTTCATAAAGGCATGCTGCATCCCTAGACAATAATAGCCAATGACAAGTTTCAACTGAGTACTGAAAGTTCATGTTTTTCACAGACTTCATCTGTAACCAATAAGAAAGTTCCTTGCTGTCTGCAGTGCAAAGTCTCATCAAGGGATGAGATTGATTAGAGCTTAGGTCATACCTCTTGAGCTGTGATTTAGTTGAAACCTCTAACCTCTTCCTCTAGTTGTCTTTTGTGATGGTGGTTCACACATCTGTGTCATTGACTCCAACATCAAATGAAGACTTACACACCTATTTATGCATTCATCCACTTATAACATTTATTAGCTGCCTTTCTCTCTTGTGGAACTCAAGGCAGTTTCCAGTATAAATAAAACCATTATAAAACACAGTAAAAACAATATGAATAAAAAATATAAAAAGTCACAATTTAAAAACTAATTTAGGACTGCCTATAAATAAAAACCAAATCAGTCAAATGCAGTCGTAATTAAAATGGTTTTCAACTACCTCCTGAAGGTCGACAGTGAGTGGGCCAGGCGCATCTCCTTGGAGAGGTGTTCCATAATTGTGTGGCTGCCAAAAGGCCCTCACCTCTCTCATGTGCCCACCAAATGAGCTTCTTTGATTGGTGGGGAAGTCATGAGGAGCCTCTCCCTGTGATCTTAATTCCCAGGCAGGAACATAAGGGAGAAGGCAGTCCTTCAGATACCCTGGTCCCCAGCTCTGTAGGGCTTTAAAGGACAAAACCAATATCTTGAAGTGGGCTTGGGAGCAGATCGGTAGCTCATATAATTGCTATAGTATCATGGTCATATGCTCCTAGTAGCTGGTCTCAACCAGCAGTTGTACTGCCTCATTCTACACTAGCTGCAGCTTCCAAACCCTCTTTAAGGGTAGGCCCAAATACAGCATATTGCAGTAGTCCAGTCTAGATGTAACTAAAGCACAAATCACTGTGGCTATATCAGACTGAACCAGGAACAGGCACAGCTGATGCACCAGCCAAAGCTGGCAAAAGCACTCAGAGCCACCACAGCCACCTGGTTTTCTGAGGTGATCACTGTGTTAAGTAGCACTCCCAAGCAGCAAACCTGGCTTTTCAAGGGGAGTATAATCCCATCAAAGACAGGAGAGATCTTGAGTCCTCAGACTGTCAATGTACTAACCCAGAGAAACCAGAGGCTTTTATAGCGCCATTCCTCTGGTTCTACTTAACATGTTCTCTTGTCTTAATTAAACAATGCACATGCTTGTGTGAAATAGTCTTTAGTGTCTCTTATTATTTGGAATTTTCTCCTTCAAGGTGGCACACATGAGAGTAGTCCTCTAATGAGGACTGCAAATTCTCTTGACACATGATCATACTATCAATGTGCCCTCTGTATAGCCAATGCCTAGCAATTGTCTACTCTGTTAAAAATAGAGAGTCTCAATAGTAGCTTTTGCAGAAAAGAAACTGCATGTGATACACTTCTGATGAAACAGTTTATTGAGTTACCATTAGAATGCCAGCAGCATGTCAGGGAGGATGTCAATAGTTATTAGGGATATACACTCAAACATCAACTAATGAAATAAGTAAACATCACAGTGATTTTCATTATTGTCAGCATCAGAACATCTAATAACTAAAAGTAAGAACATCCAGTAATCTGTGGAAGTGTTCATTGTAATATAGTGCTTGCACAACGTCTGTGTTCACAGTTGTAGGAGAGAGATGGTGAGAGCGAGACACAGTGAGAGCAGGAGAGAGAGGCAGCAGATAATGTAAGTGTGACAGGCATTTGATCCAACCAAAAGAGTTAGCAGAAATTCTCATAAAAGTGGGTTGTAATGATATTGCTATCTGTGATCATCATTCCACCAATCATTAACAGTCACAGTGGGTTAGATAGGCACTCTGACTTCTGTATAAACTAGCAGCTAGGCACTATTTCTCTCATTGAGACTCTGCATTTACAGGTTCATATTCTTTAGCATACTTTGCAATTAGCAGGTCCTTGCTGTGGCACTGGATTATATTGTGTGTGAGTGACTACTGGTTGTATTTTATTACTGTCATCCTTTGATGGAATGAGATTTTGTCCATGAGAGAGATTTTCTTTGGTAGAGGAAGACTTGGTGAAAGGATCATAGAATCCATCTTAGAAGCAGAGAGCTGCAGAATGCAATCTACTGGGACCTGCTGTAGTGTAGTTCTATTTATATAGTGTTTGAGATTTCTTTTCACCTGTTCTTTTCACTTTTAGTTCCAGTCCTACCACAGTCTTTATGTTAATACCTTTCTCACTGAGACTTAAGGCAGATTACAATGCAGTCGATAGGATGAGACCTCTAATAAGCAATGTAATGAGACAGGGATTTCAGAGTGTGGGGGGAAAGCAGAAATCTGAACAAAGCATAAGTTTTAAATGTAACATGTTGAAGAAGTGGAAAGTTGTATTACATAAGTAGAAATACAATGCTCTGGGAACAGGATAATGACTGCAGCAAGAGATAACACATACAATACATATGAATGTTATATTTAAGCATGTGTGTTCTATGGCTTGTTGCCGTAATAAATGCCTGACTGACATACAATACACAGTAGCAAAGTCAATGGACCCGTTCCCTTCCTTGAAATCTTTCCTGAACCATTCCATTATAATATAGCCCTATTCCCTTTATAAAGATGTCTGACCTCCTTATACAGGGCATGCCACAAGGTGGGGGCACTACAGATTATGCATATGTATGGGCCGTTGTTGTTGTGTAATTTATTTCTTTATTTCTTAATAATTGCAACCCAGAAAAGAAAAGAAATAACAGAATATAGCAACAATGATGCAAATCTACAGATAAAAGTTTTCCAGATATCTAAAAATATGTCCATGCATAATTGTCATCTCTGTGCCATACGTTCAAATGTTGATAAGGCTGTAAAGTCCTCAATCCATTGGATTATGGGAATTAGGCATTTCAGTATCCAGCATTCTAAAACAAATCTTTTAGTAACAGTAAGGGCTTGGAGGGCTCATTTTTCTTGCTCATCAGTTAGCCTCCAGGAGACTGGCAAATTGTTTAAAAATATATAGGCATCCTCAAAGATCAATGAATATTTTAATACAACATTTATATATAACTACTTCCTCCCCAAAAGACTGAATAACTGGACAGGCCCAAAGCATCTGTTTAAGAGATCTGTCCTTTCTTTGACTGCTGCGCAGACTAGAAATGTAATTGCCTCCAGAACAGGGCACTTCCTTCTTGTGTGCCTGAAATTTGGGGGTGAGAATCCTTGTACAGTCCCCAGAGAATTTAATCCCAGTTGGATGGGGAAAAAACATGCAGCCTAGAAACCTTCCCACTGAAGCCACTGGAAACAAATGCAAAAGTGAAAAATAAAAAACAAATTCAACTAATAATGAACAACATGAATCCTCCCCCCAAAAAAAACTTCTGCATGTTAAACTTGAGAAGATCCTTTTTTATATTTTAGAATCATGAATAGATGTCCTGATTACTCTGTTATCCTGTTGTCGCAAGCAGAGTAGTATTTTTCCTGTGTGTAAGTTGGCTCTTGATTGTTTGCTGCATAAAGTGGTCTAAGTTGTTATGGAATCAGCAAAAAAGAAAGCTTAAAAATACAAGGAAAGGAAGGGTGAAGACAGCATTTTCTGTATTTTATTGAATTTCTTTACTCTTATTTCATATAATAAATGCATGGACAGAAAGCCCCACAGGATCTCCTTAGCTAGCATAGAACAGACAAACATCCATTAAAATTATATTGTCCTGCAACAAATGAAGTTAGGGCACTCCTGAAAAACTGAATTTGTTTATCATGGAGTATTGAGAAAAGGCTTTGCTTTCAGTGGGCAATTGCTTGGGGGTATACAACATCTATTTTAAATGAGTGCCTAAAATTGGATTTTTTCTTTTCTGTGAATCAACTAGTGAATAAAACTCATCCAGTGTTTTGATTCTCACATTCTCCTGGCTATCTGAATTCATTTTTAATACAGCCCTATTTCAGTTTTAATCCCGTTTAATCCAAATATCAGTTTAACCAAGCAATGGTTGATACAGTATATTATTTTGATATTTTTTAAAGTTGTGCTGTCTATGTATTTTATACAACAAGAGTATAATCTCATCAGTATTACTTTTCTTCGTTTCCTCAGTATCCAGTTTGGTGAAGAAATTGTTTGTGTTACTGGGCCAAATCCCAAGGCTGGGAGCGCGGTTGTAATAGTACGGCATGGAAGCACTGAAAAACTAATAGAACACGACCCCTTTACCTATACAGATAATCCTAGAATTGATGGCATTCAGCCCAAAACAAGCATACGCAGGTAATACAATACTTCTGCTTTAAAGCTGTGTTCCACTTTCATGAGCTGAGGTGTAGATTTTATTCTGATGTAATTATTAGATTGCTTAGACCCAAGGGAGACATTTTCACAAGATAATGGAATATAATTATATTTCTCATATCACATAGAAGTCATCACCTCTAGGGAAAAGCAAACTTCATTGAGAGTGAACGTCAAATAGATATTGTTCATTGTTATGATACCTGTGCAATCCCATATGGGTTATTATGCATGCAGGCTTACTGTGGAGAGATTTTGAAGCACAAAAACTCTAGAGGGCGCTCTTTCCCCTCTTCCACGGTGCTTTCCTGCCTTTTCTAGTGTAAAAGGAAGAGGCAGAGCACCTTTCCCTCCATTTTCTCTCTGCCATTGGGAAGAGCAGTTCTTTCCTTCGAAGCTCAAGTGAGGAAAAATTGCAGGCTTCAAGCCTTCTCCTCAGACTTAGTCTACATAATAGCTTCAAAAGACATGGCCCCAAAAGTTCTCTTTAAGACATGCATGTCTTGCAGGGCAAAAATCCCCCATACAGGCAATAGTACTTTGTGTCTACTATGCCTCAGTGAAGAGCATGATGTCTTCAGATGCCTGGTATGTTGACAGTTTACCTCCAAAGTGAGACATGACAGAACATCAGAACTGAAACAAGGGCTTGTCCAGCAGTGCTCCTGACAATCATCCAGGCACAATGCCTAAACTGAATCCAGAGATATGGATCTGGTCATCATTGGATCTGAGACTAGTTTTAGAGCCTTTGGCTCCAACTGTGATGCCTACAAGGGTGCAAACTGCTACTTACCCAGAATCGCGTAGGAGAAGCGCTTCAGAGCCTCCTCCAAAAAGGACTTGTAGCAAGCCTTGTCAAAGTCATCCAAGTCATCGTCTTCCTCCTGTCATAAAGTGACAGTTCCAGTATGGCCAGTGATCAAACCTACGGTCAAACCTATGCTGATTCCAAGAACTCATTGGTTCTGGATCACCTATCCCCCGTTGTCAACTGTTATCCCATTGATCGGATCTCTGGCTGCCAAGTCCCCCCGGGGGGGGTTCCTGCCAAAAGGGCCCCCAACCCGCTGGTCCGGATCAGGCCGGCGGGGGAACCCCGCCCCCAAAGTGCCTGGTTCGGGCTGACATGCCTGGTGCCGGCCGATGCTCTAGCAGTCAGCCTGAAAACTCTATAATATCGTAGAGTTTCCAGGCCGATTGCTAGAGCATCGGCTGGCAATGTGCCCAACATGATGATGTCACTTCTGGGTGATGTCATTGCGCCGTGCACGCACTTTGCGCGCATGCGAATATCCCGGACCAGAACCGGGTCTCCCCCTCTGTGCCAGGTAAGTGACTTGGCAAGCCTAATCGGATTTAATCTGTCAGTTGGATCCAACACTGTATCCCCTGTCTCTCCTCTGAGGCCTCTCCTAGTGGATACTTACCATAGCTATTATGCTGACCAGAATTGGGATCCATACACTTCTCTCAGTTCTGATCCAGCCAGCGACATGGATTAAGCCTCAATGGAGTCTGAAGGTAATCCTGATTCCTCAGGAACACTGGGAGATGACTTCCAGTGCTATTATGGTTATGAACAGTCAGTGTACAGTGAACAAAAATTTTGATTTTGCATTGGAACTGTCCCCAGAGGACCAGATTCCAGAATAATCCACCTACTGTCCTAGTGAGGATTTCAGACTCTATAGTAAGCAACTGATTTGCTTGGTGAGATCACTTGAAATAGATGTCTCCTGTGCCCCCAGTGCCACAGACCCAGTGATGCACCCTAACTTCAGTGGCCCAGTCACTTTCGCTGTGATGGAAGGACTGTTAGAAGTGACTATGGAACCATGGCTCAAACCAGCCCCTGTGCCACCATTGGCCCGCAGAATTGAGAACCAGTATAGGACGAAGCCCTTGCTATTCCAGCATTCAGTGGCCAACTCCCTAGCAGTAGACTCTATTCAAGGGAGAAACAAAAGATACCTAGCATTTATGCCCAGACTTGATGGAGAAGGCCAAAAGATCTAAGCCTGCTCTGCCTTGTTCTTCAGAATTGCCACTTAATAAATGCATAATAGCCAGAAACCATGCTCTTGTAGGATGGCATGGTTCACTATCTGGACCTTGTACCAGAAGAGAAACACGAGCTTGCCAAGCTCCTGGTACTTAGAGCATTTAAACTTTCCAAACATCAGACCTACTCTGCCAAGTGTGTAGCAGATTGTGCAGCCCACAGTCTGGCCACGATGATATTAATCTGATGCCACTCCAAGTGAAAATCCAGCCAAAGATCTCTCTTTTGATGGGACTGAACTGTTTAGTAGTAAGATTGATGAGCTCCTCACTAAGTGTCATGGACCACCCTCATCCTCATTGGAGGAAGAGTAAGACAACAACCTGTTGCCAAGCCCCACCTTGGAAGACCCTTCTTGTGAGGCGGGGGCCCAAAGAGACCCTGAGCCAGCGCCAATACTGCCCATGAGCCAGCCGGGTTCTTCAGTCTGAAGGCCCTGGCCACAGTCTCCCAAACCATCCCAGGAGCACAGGAGGTGAAAGGCTAGGGCTGAGGCATGGACTAAGTGCAGGAGTGCATGCCTGCAGCCTCCCTTCTGCTAAGGAAATGCTAGAAAAGACTAAGTCACCACAGGATTTGGACCCTAGGCTGACTCAGTTTGTAGGGGAAGAAGAAGAAGGGATTGGATTTATACCCCATCCTTCACTTGGAGTCTCAGAGCGGCTTACAAACTCCTTTCCTCCCCCTCCCCACAACAGACACCCTGTGAGGTGGGTGGGGCTGAGAGAACTCTGACACAAACTGCTCTTTCAGGAACAGCTGTGCCAGAGCTTGTGACTGACCCAAGGTCACATCAGCAGGTGCAAGTAGAGGAGTGGGGAATCAAACCTGGTTCTCCCAGATTAGAGTCCGCACACTTAACCACTACACCAAACTGGGTGTAGTGGGGGAGAGTGGCAACCAGTGGCACCTGTAGGGAAACTCCCTATATAAGGTTGCAAGATCAACTTGTCTGCAGTCTTGCTAACTACTCCACCACAAGCTGGACCTGTTTTGGAGCCAATTCTTGTTATCTGCCTCTTGGACTGCTTTTGGCTCTACCATTTGGAATACATACCCTGAGTCCCTTGACTGAGATCTTGGACTGCCTTCTTTGCCTTTGATTGTGTTATTGGACCCTAGACTGTGACCAAAGAACCCCTGCTGTCAGACCCTGTTATAAATTAGGCTTGTCCTCTGCCTGGTGGCTGGAACATTAAGATGAGGAAGAACAAATTTATGGCCAAGATCTTAGGCCTAATTTATTTTCCTTTAAATCCTCAAAGGCCCAGACAATATTTTAGGCGTTATCGCAATTTACAGAGGCAGAGGGCAACACCTTCCACTAGCGAGATTCCCCTCTCAGAAGGGGAAATCCAGATCCCAATCCCCAAAACCATCTCAACCTTCCAAACAAGGTTTTTGACAATTACAGACTGCACCTGAAACAAAATCTTTCCTGCATAAAATGGGAGGAAGTTTGTCAAGACTGGTGGCAACCAGTCTTGTACCACAGCATATACCACTGTACCACTACATATAGTGTACCACTACATATAGACCATTGATACCAAAAAAATTGTGTTTTGCGCCTTTTAGAAAAAGCGGCCACAAAAATTCAAAATACAGAATCAGGCTCTTATTCTACTCCTTTTGAGGCTGTGTGGTTTCTCTTTTTAAGCTTTGTGTCTCAACAAGACCAGACAAGATGGTTATCGGATTGGACTAAAGCGATGTTAATAAACTGACTTGTCTATTTCCCTACCTGCAAAAAAAAAAAAAAAAAAGATCAGTGGGTTCTAACCATAGTATCAAAGGGTTATGCTATAAAGTTCCTCAAAGTTCCAAGTCATTCTCCACCTACAGCAATCCATCAAAACCTTCCCCTCAACTTCTTGCAGAAGTAGAAACTATATTAAACAAAAAGTCAATCATAATAGTGCCTTTGAAAGTGCAACACACAGGGTTTTACTCAAGGTACTACCTGTCAAAAACAAAGGGGACGATGAGATCAATACTCAACCTGAGAAACTTGAACAAAATTTTGTCAATTAAAAAATGCAGAATGTTATCTATTGCAGATGTCCTTCCTTCACTGTTTCCGGGTGTATGGTTTGTGACTCTAGATGCTTATTTCCATGTAAGGATCAGGCCATACTTTCAAAAATATCTCCACTTCCAATGTAGCAGTCTCTTTCTGCAATACAGTGTCTTACCATTTAGGCTAGCTACACACCAGGGTTTTCACCAAGGTCATAGCACTAGTTAGGTGTGAAATCTACCCTTTCTAAATGACTGGTTAACCATAGCAGTTTCCAAGGTAAAACTTTTATCAGATGTCCAGCTGATCCTAAAGGTCAAGTTACATGTCAACTTCAAAAAGTCAAGATTAGAAGCCACCTAAAGGGTGTTCTTTATAGGAACAATAATGAACTCCTCCAGGGTGAAGGCCTTTCTGCCCCCCCCCCGAAAATCCAAGATATATGTTTAGCAGTATTCCATTCCAGTTGCCTATGGCTGCAACCGGCCATATTCTTCCAATGCCCTCCTAGAGCTAAGGGCATCTACTACACCTGTAGTTTCATACACTTGCCTATTTATGCATAACTTGCAACTGTGGTTCCTAAGGGTCTTCAATGTCTTCTGTCAAAAAATTGAATGCCTCAAGATATGACATTCACTCCCTGTCATGGTGGACCCTTCCCCAAAATTTCTTCTCTGTTTCATTCACACACACACCAGAAGTCACTCTTACTACAGATGCTTTGCAGTCAGTTTTAGGTGTTCTTGTAGACGCCTTCTCAGTCAGCAGTGTCTGGTCCACTCACAAGAAGTCACTTCATAGAAACACCTTAGAAATTAAAGTGATTTTCCTAGCCCTGTCTGCCCTTCAATCACACCTAGTGGGAAAGAACATCCAGATAGCAACAGACAATCTAACAGCAATGTTCAGTATCAACCTACAGGGAGGCAAAGCTTCATCAATTTATGCCATTTAGCATCCAAAATATGAGAATGATGCATTCTTCATGGGTCTACAATCCAAATGGTGCACATAGCAGGAAACAGCAACCACATAGCAGGTTTCCTCAGCTGTAGTGGGTTATGTTGGGGCCATGTTCCCTTAATTACATGCCATGCCCCACAAAACACTTTCTTTAAAGCCATGATAATGTTTATTTTTAAAATTTTAATGTAGCCTTGCCACCACACCTAGGCCTGCCTACACCACCTTCTTCTTCTCCAGGCTCCAGCTGACTGGTCCACTGCATTCTCTTGTTGACCGTTCCTGCCTTCCCCTCTATTCAACAGACTCCTGGGCCCTCTTCCTTGGATGGGAGCTCTGGAGTAGGGAAGAGGGGAGGGAGGAGAGAGAAGTGAGGCATCCCTTGCCGGTCCAGGCTGCCTGCAGGTGAGGGGCCACAGCTGGGTGCTTCTTCACCTCTTCTCTGTGGCACCTGGGGGAGGGGGGAATGCATGCTCACATGCCAGCCTTATCAAGGCTTTGTTGTGTTTTGGAGGTGGGCGGTGCGCACTCCTGCCTGCCTTCTTCCTGGGACATTTCTGCGAGTGAGGCCAAAGGCAAGTGCGCTTCACCATCGGGGCTCCCTTCTCTCAGCTGGTGTGAAGGGAACTGGTTTGGCAGCACCACGGAGAGGCCCTGTGCTGAGCTCTACTCATGCCGCCCACCCGGGAAAGCCACCTGCAAGGCAAGCGGGCACCTGAGCCAGGCCGAGGTGGAATCACTGCTAGTGCTAACTCCTCAGTTCCGGCTTAGTGGTAGTAGTGATTCCACCTAGGAATCTTCAGCACATAACCTTTTAAAGTAGACGACTGACAAGCAGGTGAGCCAGAGAGAGGAGAGGAGAGCGTGGTGTGTGCTCCAGCCAGAGGTAATTAGATTAACTTTAATTTAGTCAACTTAACTGCCCTTTAAAATAAAATTGACCCCCGAAGGAAAAAATCTTGGCTATGGGCCTGCTAGCACTTCACAAGATGGAACTGAACAACTACTTTCTCTTCCTGATTTTCCATCAGTGGGACATGCCCAATATAGATCAGTTTGCAATGGACACCAACAAGAAGTGTATCCTGTTCTGCTTCCAAGCAGCCTGGCATCTCCACTCACTAGGAGACACCTTCCAGATCCCGTGGAGAGGGGACATGTTCTGCACCTTTCCCCACTCCCTCTAATATCATGGATGTTACACAAAATGAGGACAGAAAACGTGACAGGCATAGTAATAGCCCCATTCTAGCTGAGACAGGTATAGTTCCTCATGCTACTCAGAATGTCTTGAGGAAGATATGTGGTCACAAATTTTTTAAGAAACGTTTTATTTTATGAAGCCTTGCGCATCAGAATATCTTATGCCAGAGTTATTAAAATGATGAACCTGTGTGGTGTAATGGCTAAAGTGTCATACAAAAATCTTGCGAGACCAGGGTTCAAATCCCCCTTAGCCAGGAAGTTCATTTGAATGATCTTGAGTCAGTCACTCTTGTCAACCTCAGTTTACAGAGTAGTTGTGAAGATAAAGTGAAAAAAGGGAGAACATTGACGTGCTTCTTGATGGAAGGGTGGGATAAAAATATACTTGAAAAATAATTTCTAAAGAAAGACCAAGGAGGAAGACTGGCCAGCCACACAAAACACCTGAGTGAGAAGGAAAACAGCAAAGTTTGACCAAAGCCTCGTGTACTTTGTAGTGTGACAGAGATGTATGTATTATGTCCATTTCTCCTATTAAAGGTGAACACAGAAATAAGGCAGCAAAATTCAAAAACAGATATTAAAAGTAGATACAAGCATAACTTTTTAAAATGTTTCTGGAGAAAATGCACGAGTAAGGTTAGGCATTCTTTGTCTCTGTAACTGTTCTCCTCCCCTGCACAATAGATGGTGGATAGAACTCATAGGGAGGGGAGTATTAAAAATGCATGGGTATTAAATGTCTGTCCCACCTTTCTTCCACCTTGGAGCTTAGTGCAGGATTTCCCATCCAAGCACTGACCTGCTAAGCTTCAGTAAGGTTGAAGCATCTTGTGTTTTCCAATTAAGAATAACTAATGAAAAATTGCCTGCATTTGCTTCTGAGTAGAAACAGAAGTTCATTATTCATTGTTTTATTTTATGTGCTTGAATTTCAGTGGAGGACGAAAAATTACTGTGACTGGAAATGGTTTTGACATCATTCAGAAGTTTTCTGTGGAAGTCTTGGTTGAGCCTTTTGGGGATTTCTTATCAAAGAAGAGGAAGAGAAGGCAGGTACCAGATCCACAAAAGGTAACAGTTATCATTTCTTTCTAAAGAAGTATTCGCTTTTTACCTGGGATATCCAAAAGTCAATGATACGTTTCCATTCGCTTTAATGCATTCATAAGCCTGTTGAAGGCATCTCAGGAATGTTACAGTAATTTTTGATATATACACGTGAATACTAGTAATCCTACATGATGCTGAGTATTCCAAAAACAGATATAAATTTGTTTGTATCTTGTACTCTTTGCTAAATTTGGTACTCAGGAGGCTATTCTACAGCAATCAATGCATAATAAAAAGCAAAAATGAGCCAGTGAAAACCTTCACGGCAGCATGATCAGCTGCCTTGAAATTGCTAAATTGATTATAGCAGGAGTGACTAAAAGCATGCAGCAGATATGATCCAAGGCTAGTCAGCATTCACTGGGACCTCTCAGAGCTTTCAGACATTCATATTTCTGTGGGTTTGTTGGTGTAAACCATTGGTGTAATTATTGCAGATATTTTGCACTGCCAAAAGCTGAAGGGTTTTTTTAACCTTCCATCATTACTTCTGTATCAATGTATTTGTATGTTGTTTCAAAGAGAATATTTAAGGATCATATTGTTCAGTTGGAATATAAATGTCTATGTGTAGGTTCCAGAAGGCCAAATCACCTACACAAGAAGAGGCCCATACCAGGCAGGAGTTAACAGCTGTTTGGACAGAAGCAGGTGTCCGTGTTTATTTAGAAGCTATTTATTTAAAACATTTATAGGCTGCCTCTTCAGAGACCTGCTTAAGACAGCTCGCAACACAAAAGATAAACATAAAATCATTAAAATTAACATCCATTAAAACCAGCCTATAGAACAGGGAAGCATAAAAGTGCATAAAAGCACGAAAAAGGTGATTTCAGATGTCAAATGCCAATAGCAGGTGAATGCCAATAGCAGGCTTGATTAGATTAGGTGTGATATGCAGAGGAGTAGTAGGTGTGGAGATACCAGTTTTGGTAATGAGACAGGAAACATAGGTCTCAATTCCATCCAGGAGGATTCAGTCCAGGAGGATGCAAAGAATAAATTGATATAAGTCTGATATTAGAAACCAGAACATTCAGTTGGTGACCTAAGAGTAGCAGTGCTCTTACAAAGAAATTTCAAAGTGAGGTTAGAAAGAGAGGCTGCTGAATTGCAATTGATAATGAACCTCAAGACAATGCATCCTTCTGGACTGAATTGAGAACTAGTTTTCCTGTCTCATTACCAATGTGCGCTCTTATCATTTGGCATCTGCACTCCACTCTCCAAGGTATAAGGACGTGTTTTAATTCCTAATCAGGGTCTTTTTGGAAGAAAATAAATCCAGATAGGAACAGAGAAATTCAGAATAAGGCAAAATAATCTCATCGTACATTGTGCTTGTCAGAAGAATCCACCCTCCTTCCCTCCGAAAAAGAAGAAGAATGAAAAGTACGCGGACGGAGAGTGATTTCTGCAAAGCGTACTTTATTCGATCCGGAACAAGACAACTTTGGCCGGCTAGCAGGCCATCTTATATTCCCCGAGAAACCGCCACCCAAAACACACACACCCACTTCCCAATAGGTTATTTACAGTACCCGAGAGTCCCATAGGCTCTCGGCCGGGAACCTAGCCCCCTGATTGGAGCGGGCTAGGATCCGCATCGTCCATTGTCTCTTGGAGCAAAGCTCGACATTTGTGCCTGACCGCGTGGAGTCAAAGCAGGCCACGTGGTCTGGACTGAATACATTACACACCTCCCCCCTTGGTCCGCAATGCACGCACAGACAAAGTCCTTCAGGTGGGCAGGTAACTTCCTGGTGCGGGTAGAGCTGTGAAGTTCGGGACCTGTTGTGGCCTCCACCCCTGCAGCCCTCAGAGGCGAGCTAGCCGAAAGAGGCGCTGGAGGCGGCAGTGCCGGCGTCCTCGGTGTCTCTGGAAGAGGTGACTCGGGTTCGACCAAGGGAAGAGGCCGGGGCTCGGCCGCCGGTGGTTGTGTCCAGGGTGAGGTCTCCAGGGCCTCGGCCATGTCCAAGTCCTCGGGGTCCAATGGCATCGTCCGGCAGCGTAGCTGGTCGATGTGCCGGTGTAGAATCTGCCCATCTTCATACAAGACCTCATACAATCTTGGGCCCTTAACTCGTATGACTTGTGCCGGAATCCAGGCTGGTCCCCGGGCGTAGTTCCATGTGTACGCGGGATCCTTCGGGAAGAAACCCCTGGCTGCCACTACACCCCTCCCCCCTTGGTCCACAACACACCCACAAATAAAGTCCTTGAGGTGTGCCGGTGCTTTCCTGGTGCGGGCAGAGCGGCGAAGTTTGGGGGGCCGTGGCTGGAGCCGCCGCTGATGTACTAGGTGGAGTGCTGGCCGGGGGCAGCGTAGCAGGGTCCGATGATGGCGCCCCACTGGTAGTGGGGTTGTTGTCCTTGTGGGTGCCAGAGGGAAGGTGAACGAGCGTTGCTGTTGGCGGTGCTGCCATGGGTGACGGCTGTGGTGGCGCTGAGGCTTCTGGGGCATCCTGGGTCTCATATTCTTCAGGGTCCAAGGGCAGCATCTGCCAGCTCAGCTGGTCAGTATGGTGGTGTAGGATTTGCCTGTCCTCACTGCAGACCTCGTACGATCTTGGCCCCTTGATTCTTACCACTTGAACCGGAATCCAGGCTGGACCCCATGCATAATTTTTGGCGTACACGGGATCCTCTGGAAAAAATCCCCTAGCTGCTTCATGAGATTCAGTGGCCGGTGCTTCTTCAGGAGTGTGGTCTGGGTGGAGGCAGTCCAGCCGGGTCGTTAGGCGGTGATCTAGGAAGAGTTCTGCCGGGCTGTGCCCCGTCGTGGTGTGGGGTGTAGTTCACTGGCCAAAAAGAAAGGCAGCCAGCTTATAGTCCCAGTCCTTTGAGTCCAAGCAGCGGGGTGCGTCTTTGGTCATCCTGACCATGCGCTCCACTTGGTTGTTGGTCACAGGATGGAAGGGGGCAGACCTGACATGGCGGATCCCGTAGTACCGGGTGAAATCCTGGAACTCGCTGGACGTGAACGCCATCCCGTTGTCCATGACTAATGTGTTGGGGATGCCCTGCGCACTGAAGATCCGCCACATAGCCCGGATCACCGCTTTGGAGGAGGTGGAGTTCACAGGGACTACCTCCAGCCACTTGCTGTAGGCATCCACCAGGATGGTGAAGAGTTGCCCCTGGAATGGTCCCACAAAGTCCAAGTGCAACCTTGACCAAGGGCGGTGGGACGATTCCCAGGCTCATTCTGGGGCCCAGCGTGGCCCTGGACCTTTGCAAAAAAGTCCATCCGCTCGACAAATTTTGTTGGTTTGGGAGCCAGGTGGTCCGAAATTGCCTTGACCAAAGTGGTGTATGACTCATCTTTGGTCAGCCGGGGCACTATCAGGTCCTTCAGTAGAAGATGGGCCTCCATACCACAGTGCCGGAGGAGGTATGCCTTCTTCTTACCCGGATCGGTTACATCGTGGATGGTGAAATGGCTCTCGAGGGTCTCCAGCCAGGTTTCCCATTGCGATGCTTGGGAGATGTCAAAAGCAGGGAGGCTCTCGGATGCGGCAGCCATCTTACAATTCCACATGGGGGAGATGCTCGGGAACAGTGGCAGCGATCGTTGGCGAGGAGCGGTGCGGTGCTGCTCTCGGAGTCAGCGGTGTGATGCTCGGTGCTGGGAGCGGTGCGATGAGCGGCAACCGGAGATGCGGCACGAGGCGAAGCAGCATGCGGTGATCTCGGCGCAGAGACTCAATGCAGTGCTCGGTTCGTGGTCTCCGTTCAGGGGAGGATGAATTCCATCCTCATCGCCAGTGAAAAGTACTGAGACTGATGAGTGATTACAGCGCTCATACTTTTATTAGTGCAGAACAAGACAACTTTAACTGACTCGCAGGCCAGCTTATATTCCCAGTGAAATCACCACCCAAAACACACCCCCACACCGTGATAGGCTATTTACAGTGGCCGAGAGCTCCACAGGCTCTCGGCTGGGAGCCTAGCCCTCTGATTGGTGCAGGCGAGGATCCGCATAGTCCATTGTTCTCATGATCGAAGCTCATGTGGAGCCCTAGTCTGCCATGCACTCGGGACTAGATACATTACACCATGGCAATATGGAAACAGCAGGGACCAAATGAGCCCTGAAAGAATGAAGCCTCCTCAGGACTGTACAACCTGGTGAAAGTAGGAGACCTTGCCACTGATGTAACTGGCAAGTACTACGAGCATGGGAATGGGGACGAATGAGTATCAGAACTTCCCAGCTATTTAAAATCTGGCTGGCTGAGGCTATGGAAGGATAAGCTCTGTCTTCTTACAGACTGTGAGAGCATGAAGAGGAGAAAGCTGCAGAATGACTACCTCTCCCTTTTCCTTGCCTGTGGTCACGTCTGAAGCAATAGAGAGCCCTTGGTAATCCTGGCTGGGTAGCCTCAGAGGCAGAGACAGTAGGTTGAATGGATATGTTTAGAAGCATCCTTCCACTGAAGTCATGTTTACCTTGTAGGTACCCAAAATACAAGCAATCTTACTTGCTGTACTTGCACGCACACTACAGTTGCCTCCTAAGAATATCAAAATGTTTTCAAACATGATACAATGTGAATCTAGGTAAGGCAGAAGTGATGATGGTCTGTAAGGGATTGCCATGGATGGGATCGCTTGGTCCATACTAGATGGTGTTGAACTGAAACTGACAACCTCAGACAAGAGCTTAGGGCATGGGTGTCGAACTCACTTGTTATGAGGGCCAGATCTGACATAAATGAGACCTTGTTGGGCCGGGCCATGTGTGTTATAAAATGTAATGCCAGGTAGCAGAGATATAAACTTTATAAAGGACACAAACACAAAGGGGTTTTTTTTTAACTTAAAATAAAAACATGCTTAAAACATTAGCTCTGTAAGCTGCAAACCTACTTTTGATTCATTAACATTTACCACAGAAATCTCATGCTCAGAGTTCTGAGTCTAGGACCCAGGTTAAAACATGAAATGGCTGAGTGATTAAGAGAGTCTGGTGAAGCAAGCTATGATGCAGCAGCAGCAGCAGAACTGGAAGCAGGAGATAGTCAGTTCCACTGCGGGCCTGATGGAAGCCCTCCGGGAGCCTGATCTGGCTCCCGGGTTGCATGTTTCACACCCTTGGCTTAGGGGTTTTGTTGAATTCTGCATCATTGGTAGACTGTAAATAATTGCAGTAGCAAAGAGTGGTTTCTTTTTTTTCCATTTGCACTTGTTGTGGAAACTGGTTCCCCTCCTGGAATCCACTGATCTGACTATACTGATCCATGCTTCATGGTTGAATTATTGCAATGCACTCTATCTGGAGTCACCATAATAAATTATTTGAAAGCTTCAGTTGTTACAGAATATGGTTGTTCACGTGTTGGAGAAAACCTTACTGCCATCATGAAACAGTTTCATTTCATTGGTCACCCATTTGCTTCTAAGTCCAATTTAAGGAGGTGTTGATTTCCCTTTATCTTCTTTTTGGCTAAGGAGCCCCTTTTTGCTTTTTCTTCTTTGTTTTTCTCTGGCTGTCTCACCCATTTGTTTGAATGTACACTGTTAGATGCTGAACCAGCCTAGGGAAGTGAGAAGAGAGACAAAAATCATTTTTGTTCTGGTTTGATAATGGCACACAAGAGACTGATGGTCATTCAAAATAGCAAACTGTTTTATTTAACTTTGAGAGGAGAATGTCAGGTTGGAATCAGGTGTACGACTTATGAAGTGAACTTACAACTGGAATGAGGTAACTTCGTATACAAATAAATGCCAGATAATTTGACACAAAGAAGTAATTGTTTCTGTTATTCAGACAGGTCTTTAAAACTTGCAGAGAGAGATTTCTTTGCCATTTTTTCTTATATAAACTAGCATAAGCTTCTTGATCGAACAGACACTAAAGTTGATGAAGGCAGGGACATTCAAACAAGTTCCAGTTTCCTTCCTTATCCATAGGCTAGGGATCACCCCCGTCTTGTAGGAGCTATTTCCTACTTAGGGATGGGCTAAGGGATGGGCTACGGTTCCTATTTCCCTAACTCAAGATCCTTCTTGATCCTCTCCTTCAGACAAGATAGGGATCATCCCCCTTTCCTAGAAGCTATTTTCCTCAAGCTTGAATGGGGATCCTTCTTGATCCTCTCACTCCCTTAGCCTTCTTTCTCAGCCAGTTGTCAGTTCTTAACAGGCCCGTAGCTAATGCAGTGCCCATGGGGCCCGGCCTCCTCACGTTTCTTCTCAGCCACCTCCCTGCCGGGCTGTCCCCGAAGTGCCTCAACTCGCCACCTGTGCCCTGCGCTGCCTCCAACCTGGCTGTCCGACAACTGAGCTCCTTGGGCACTCCAGAGAAGTGGAATCCTTCATCCCCAGAGCTACCTTCCGACACTCCCCTCCCCTTTAAACTCAGCCAAATTGTTGCCACCTCCTGCCGGCTTCTCTTCCTCACCATCCACCCTCTCTTAACCACAGGACCAGTCTCTGCACTCCAGCCTGCGTGTGGCTGCTTTAAAAACTGCCTGCCTCCCCCACCACCACCCGAGTCTCCCCAACAAGTCCCGTGGGAGTTTTTCTAAGGGAGCTGCGGAGAGTGCGCACCAGAGACACCAAGGGGCAACTCTTTACCTGCACTCTGAGCTGCCCCCGTGGCATGCACTCCCTCCCGGCTTCCATGACTAGAGGCGACACGCCGGGCGGGGGAGGAGTGGAGGAGGACGCCCACTGCCGCCGCTGCTGCCACTGCCGCCACTGCCACCATCTTCCTCAACTACCCCCCACCCCCACCTGCTTCATCCTCCCGCCCAGCAAAGTAGCCGAGAGAGCATGTGACCTGCCGCCGCTGCCGCCGGAGAGTTACTTGAAACTTTTGGTTAAATTAGCTGCCGGCCCCCCATGGCCCCCTCCCAAAAAAGTCCCTAGCTATGGGGCTGGTTCTTAACTGCCCGTCCTAACTGACTCTCTCAACTGAAGAATTCCATTTGAATCCCCTGTTACTCAAGATTCTCAGACCAGGTTACAGCATTAACCATTTACTGTCCCATCACATTCTCCAATTATGAACCTGTGTACCACCTCAGGTCCTTAGAGTCTCCACCTGTTTGAAGCCCTGTATCAAAACCATTCATCAGACCAATTTCCAGATCTCTGAAACAATATTTTGGAGGAGGGCCCCTTCTTTGTCGCTGTTCTGTAAGCATTGTAATTGATAGTGGATGTGGCTATTGCCAGTATTTGAAATTTTGTGTAACTTTGTTTTAAGGTCTAGTTATTAGCTCCAGCTAGTGTTGTAAGCTACCTTAATTTACCATTTACAGCACAAAAGCCAGGATTAAAAGGTTTTATTACATAAATAGATTCTTTCCTGCTATATATATTTTCAGTCTCTCAGAATTTTAACTGTGTTTTCTAAATTGATGCCCCATATAGCAGGATCTGAGGTTTGTCACATTCTGAAGATCTTTTTTAATGGCTCCCTAGGCTGTAGACCACCATACATCATCATTAGTTATTAATTTGTTTGTTTATAGTCTGCCTTTCTCAGTCAGACTCAAGGTGTATATCAATACAGTCAATAGGATGGGATGTCCAATAAGCAATGTAATAGGATTAAGATGTTGAAAGTAAAACCAAGTAAAATCTTGCACAAGGAGGGAAAAAAGCATATTAAACGATGCAGAAATTACATGGTAGGATAATACATACAGCAACAGATAGTACAGGGGTATAATCCACAGTTGCTTTCCCTTTATTAAAGCGTTCTTTTGGAATGAATTCTGTTGTAATAAAGCCCTATTACCTTTGTAAAAATGCCCTCTTGAATAATGCAAGACACAGAAAGTACTCCATCTTTCTGTGTTATATCTCTGAGGGTGCCAGTCACAGCTACTGGTGAAACGCCAGGTCCTAGAATGCCAAGACCACGGCCATACAACCCAGAAAATCTACAACAGCCAATTTTGCATAGTTTGTGAAATGCCAGGAGACAGGGAGACTCCCTGTCCTCACCAGGTGCGCCATTCTATAATGTGGGGTCACAACAGAAAATGCACCTGTATGGGCAGTTATCAATCTTGTCCAGTTGCAGAGTGGAACCTGCAGAATCCCTGCTCAGATGAGCAAAGCTGTGGCTATGCAAAAAAGATACTCCAGATTTATTCATTGTGATGACCTTATTGGGTCAACAGTGAAACTCAGATTTGGACTCCAATTTTAAATGTGTCACTAGCATTCAGAAATATGATGTCAAGTCTTCTGTTTGTACACTGGAATGTATCCACCTTTCATAATCTCTCAAAAATAAACCATTCATATTTAGACTGCAGAGTTGCTTTGTTTGCTTTGCGGCTTGAGAAACAAAACTGATCTGCGCTGAGTAATTTCACCAACTTAAAAAGGGAGAAAATATCAGATGCTACCCAAGAATATAAAAAGCTAGCAGAAAGTGACAACTGACATTGTTGTATTTGCTTCATTAAGTAATAAATGACATACTTTCTGTATTAAATGACATATTCTAATCAAATCTAATATTCCATTTTGTTTTTCAGTTTGATGGAACAGTTATCTCCAAATTGAATGACACAACAATAGTCTTCTTATCTCCATCAGTTGTGGAGGATCCAGAAAACTATAGAATTGCTACCCTTATTAAAATGGATGGGTATGAAGAGACATTGCAAGATCCTTTGCAATATTTTCCTGATCCAACCTTTGAAAACTTCACAGATGGTGTCAAGAAGCAAGTCAACAAGCTGATTCATGCAAAGGTAAATGTGTCAAGAAAAAGAATTAATAAGCCCTGCTTTTTGCTTAGCCCTTCCCTATTTTTATTGGATGTTGCTCTGTATAAACTTAGTTTGATGCATAAGAAGCTAGCATCATGTAGTGGTTTAAGAGTTGGACTGGGATCTAGGAAACCCACACTGAAATCCTCACACAGTCACAGAAGCTTGCTGGATGACTTTGGGCCAGTCAATTGCTCTCAGCTTAATCTGCTTCACAGGATTGTTATGAGGATAAAATGGAGAAGGGGAAAATGTTGTAAGCTGCTTTGGGTGCTCATTGTGGAGAAAAGTGGGGTATAAATGAAGTAAATAAATAAAGGAAGGCTGTGTTCATTTTGACTGTTTGGAAAACTGGTTGTATGAGGATTAAAGGGGGGGAAACACTCTGCCTTCTTAAATCTGAAATTTGATGTCTTTCAAGCCATTTTCAGACAAGTTGAGAGCTGCTTTGTACCTCCTATTGCCTCAGTGAAAAGGTGTTGGGCATTGTACATGAAGACCCTCTCCTTGTCTTGTAAGAGCAGCTTGTTTATATAAAAGAACAGTTTATTTTTTTATGTCAACTACCTGAAGATGTTTCTTCCCTTTTACACACAGATACCAAGCCTAGCTCTAGCCCTTTAATATAAAATTGTATACAAGATTAATGTCCTAATCATTAAGTGTCTAAGCCACCTTCCCCCTCCAATACCCATGCACCAGGAAAATGTCTTATTCTGTTTTTTCCCCTGTCTAGGGCAGTAATCTGAACAAAGCCATGACGATTGAAGAGGCTCAAGCATTTGTGGGAGAACAACCCTGCATCATAAAAACCCTGACTGAGAAGGATTTATACTGTGAACCACCCGAAGTGCAGCCCCCTCCAAAGAGAAGGCAGAAGAGAGATACAGTTAATAACCTGCCAGAATTCAGCGTATGTCACATTTGTCTGTGTTTTTAGCAACAGATACAAAGGGCAGTGCACAGAATATCTTGCTTTAAGTGGCCCTAATAAAGAGTCGTCCTTTCCACATGATTGATGTTTCCCCAGAGCATTTGTAGAAGAAAACCAGTCTGCCACTGGCCAGTTCTTATCTTGGAGCAGAATGCATTCAGACAAGCAGGTCTTTCCTTTTGCTAAGAGCCAGGCAGCACTGGCCCCTTTAGCTTGATTCTTTTATATTCGAAGCCCAAAGCGCGCACACACTGCAGTGCCATCACCTGGGGAATCCGCTAGCATTTGAGGGGGGGAATTATGATTACAATAGAGTGTTTACCCAAGTGCGAGAGCGTCCCCCAGTTGACATCATTACATTGGGCACAAGGGAGCTGTTTGAGGGCAGGGCTCCCCCCACCAGCCCTGTGGATGGTGGCGGATTGAAGCCCCTGAAAGTGGGGGAAACCCCACGGCTCCCAGTGGTATGGCAACCCTATTACACAACCCCTGGGACATGGGCCAACAGCAGCATACCAGATCATTTGACTTGGCACCCAGGCCAACCATCTGAGGCAAGAGCAGCACCACTGGGGCCAGTGGTATGGGGAAGGCATAGCTTGTGCCTGTCATCACCTCTCCCACATTTAGGACAGAGCCAACATCCATCTGTGCCCTCCTTTCCCTTCCTCTTTGTTAGTTATTCTTAATTCTTATGCAGTAATCATTAATGAGTGAATGAAATAGTTACCCAAAGCCCTGGGATTCTACCAGAAGATTATTTATTTATGTGAAATGCTAATAAATAATGTTGTTTACTCTAGATTAGGAAATGGATTTATGTGGGAACTAGGAATTTGATTGGCTATATTATATATAGTCGTCTGCTAGCATATGAACCTAGGTGTCCACTCTGGTCATCTTCAGTGGACCTGCTTTGGGTGTCTCCCCCCCCCCATCTCATTGGATGGGTGGCATCCCAAGAAAGAGCCTTCTTGGGCATGGCACCAAAACATTCAAACTCCCTCTCTAGGGAAATTTGTCTATCTCCCTCTATTGTTGTCTTCTGCCAGCAGGTGAAGATTTTGTTTGGCGTTCCTTCACTGTTATTGGCCCTCTTCCCTGGTTTTGTTGTGTTTGTGTATTTATATGTTTTAGTGAATTGTTTAAATATTTTATATATGATCATAATTTAAAAGCTGTTTTAATGTCTTGCTGTTTTAATGTTTTTAATGATTTGATGTTTGCCTCCTTGGAGACCCTATTTGAGTGGAAAGGCAGTATGGAAGTGTTTTAAATGAATTAAATAGAGGGGAGAGGGAATTCATAAGACTAAGTATTGTTAAGTCTAGTGCCATTCTAGGAACACTTTCCCAGGAATAACCCTTATTGAATAGAGCTGTGGGATTCTGAGTAGACCTGCTTAGGACTACTCTTGTTGTCTGATCTGGTTCTGTGTTAGCCTTCTAAGTTTAAATATTTATTTAGGTGAAATTTGGCTTCAAAGAATGGGTCCTAGGAAGAGTGGAATATACCCAAGTGAGTGACATACCACTGAGCCTGATTTTGCCATTAGTAATGATTCCCATGGTGGCCATTATCATCATCTCAATCTATTGCTACAGGTAAGATGTGGTTTTCCATCATCAGACCTTGCTTAAAACTGTGCAGGTGAAAACTGCTTTGTTTGGAGGAAAGCAAGAGTAGAATTAATGTAATGACTGTGTGTGATTCGGACTTGCTCCTCTGAACATCAGCACTTGCTTGAAAATGCAATATTGTATCTTGTAGCTTCAAAATATTTCTAGCATAATTTTCTCATCTTATGTCTCAGAGCTATGTATATTTTTGTGCAAACAGAGTTATATGCTAAACTAAAGAGAAGGCTGTATGGATGAATATGCTTAGCATTTCTGCCTAAGTGCCTTTGAAGTGGTAAAATACTGAACTATGCAGCTTAACATACAATTTTTGAAGGGTATATGTGTCTGCGTGCATGGTATTGTGTACCAGAAGAAAGAGCATCTACTACTCACTAGCATAACTTCAAAGTGAAGGGCCAATTCTGGTTTAGTGTTTTCCTCTGTAGAACAAGTGGTTAGCATTACACTGAATACAAAATGTATGTAAGTTTTCCAGAAAATAATTGTAGTTAAACAAGCAGGGGACCCATAAGGATTTTCAGGGGGCATCTCATTTTCTCTCCCACTCTCTCTCCCCAACCCCTCCTGCTTCCTTCTCTCCTTCCCACTCACCAGCCAAGCATACCTTTATTTGCCCCTGTCTTCCGTTTTCCCGGTACCTGGGAAAACTGTGGCCCAGTTGCACACCAGACTGGGCCCTGTATTCCCTTTCTACACTATTTCCTCTTTTCCTCCTTCTGGCAACCCCCATATCCTCACCTTTCACTGCTTCCTTCTCACCTTCCTACTTTCTGCCTTCCTACTTTTATCTACCTCCCCATCTTCTGCTGTATTTATTATTTAATTATTTCATTTATGCCCCAAACCAGGGGGCCCATAGCAGCCTCTCTGAAGAGGCTGAACAAATATTTGTCAGAGATGCTTTAGGCTGGTCCTGCATTGGGCAGGGGGTTGGATTAGATGGTCTGTATGGCCCCTTCCAACTCTATGAATCTATGATTCTCCTCTCCTCCATTTTTCTTTCACAACAACCCTGTAAGGTAGCATAGGCTGAGAATTTGTAACTGGCCTGATGTCACCCAGCAAGCATCCACAGGAGAGTGATGATTTGAAACTGGGACTCCTAGAGCCTAGTCTGAAATTTTAACCACTGTTCCACACTGGCTTTTTCTGGTGATGGGGGTTGCTGTTGAACAGTAGCATTCATTTCTTAAAGTTATAGGTGCTGCTTCTATTATTGGGGGGTTAACATGCCAATGTTTGGAGGATTTTTACACATACACACACACGTGTGTGTGTGTGTGTATGATTTTTTTGCTCACCTGTGATGTTTTTCAGGTCAGTAGAAAGAACTGATTTGTCTGTTCATGCCTCCAGTTTCTGGATTTAAGTATCCACATATTTGGCCTTGTTGAGAATTAGATTTATTGAAGATACTAGATTTCTACTTTTTTAGCATCAGAATTACATGTTGATTTTACACGAGGTTCCATAGAGGAAAACTGTTTTATAAGAATAATTTTAAAGGGAACAAACGTTTTAAAAGGGAAAGCTGTTTTGATTTCAGTCCTGGTGTTGAAATTTCTACAAGTTGTTTTAACATTGCACCTAAACAGAACCAATATGCTATGGGTTGCTTCAAATGTAGTAACCACAGGAGACCCATGTGCTGAAATTGGTTCCAGTTAACTCCTAAAAACACCCAGTCAGAAAAAATGCCAAGAGTGAACTCACTGATCATTGGAGTAGTAGTGAAACCAGGGCTTTTTTGTAGTGGTAAAAAGGTAAAGGTTCACTTGCTCGAAAGCCAGTCGAATCCGACTCTAGGGTTGCGGTGCTCATCTCCGTTTCAAAGCCGAAGAGCCAGCGCTGTCCGAAGACATTTCCATGGTCATGTGGCCAGCATGACTAAACACCAAGGCGCATGGAACGCTGTTACCTTCCCACTGAAGTGGTACCTATTTATCTACTTGCAATTTCTTGCTTTCGAACTGCTAGGTTTTGTAGTGGTACTCACTGGTAATGACTACCGGCACCTTTTGGGGATGGGGGCTCTCCAAAGTCCTGAAAGAGGAATTGGTGGAAATCAGTTCAACCTTATATATAAGTAGACACCTTTTTAAAAAAAATAAAATTGAATGAATTAAATTACAATTCAAGCAATTGAAAAGCAGCATTAACCTGGTCATTAAGAACCATATTGATAAAAAGTAACCCCTGTCAGAGTAAGCTAATAAACAACTATAAAAAGAGCCAGTGGCAATTACAAGTCAACTTCATTCGACATCTGGTAGTTCCTTTGCATAAACAGTGTTCCTGAACATTGATACATTCACTTCCTTGGAGCAGATTTTTCAGTCAGTCTTTGATTCAATAAAACGGACTGAGCAATGCTGATTTTGTGCCACCTTAAACATTTGGCCTGTTGTTTTCCTGTTTCTTCTATCTTTCTTTGGCATTAAAAGATCAAGAGGAAAAAAGACAGTGCTTCTAAAGATCCCTCTGGCTTCTTGTTCAGCTCTGTTGTAAAATGATTTATTTTTGCAGGCCATAACTTTTCTGTACTCTCTGTTTCTATTCCTTATAGACGGAAAAGTCAGCAAGCAGAACGAGAATACGAAAAAATTAAATCACAACTTGAAGGCTTGGAGGAAAGCGTCAGAGACCGGTGCAAAAAGGAATTTACAGGTATGACTGATGCCCAGTTCCTTGCAGGCCCTCCAGAGAAATTACAAGATGTGCTGTACTTCTGCCACTGTCTGCCTTAAACTGTCTACTGAGGATACACAGGAGGCGCAACTGTTCTTGATTACAATACACAGTGCATAGGCTTCAAGCAATTAGATGCAAAGGCCATCAATAAAAAAGAGTGCTTAAAAGAATCTGATGAGATTTTCAATGTGAAAGGAAAGTAAGTACCAGCAACTAAATTGGCAGTTGGGGAATATCATGCGTCTTCATCCTGACGTGCTTCTGCTAGTGTTGTAAGCTGATTGTGCCGCAGTAAGGAAATCACACTGTTAATTTTTTAATCTGATCCTAATACTTGGCAGTAAAGTTCAAATACAGTTTAATTTTTATGTAAGTAATAAGGCAGATATGTGTAGAAATCTGGTAAAGTATAACTAGAGAGATACATTCCTCTTTTTTGCAATTTTTGGAATGAGAGCACATAATCATATTGATTTCAGTGCTTTGGAAGCAAGCTCAGTTGTATGCAGGGTCTGGTTGTTTTTTGTGTTTAAGGTATAAAAGTGCTTGTACAGATCATGCCACCATTGAAAATTATTTGTCTGAATCATTAATATACAAACCTAGTTCTTTTTTTTCTTTTAATCCCCTGAAAACAGGGTAGCTTTATTAATTTTTGTTACACCTACGTGACTACAGAAAGGAAAAAATAGGAAAGGGGGGGGAGAGAAAGGGGGGGAAGGGAAAAAAAATAACAAACTGAAATAACAAACCCCAGAATACAGACAGTACAAAAGAAAAGGAACCCACACTATAACTAAAAACCCAAGAAAGGAAGGTCATTAACAGTTAGTATACAGTTAGTCATAAAAAATTAAAGCTTTCGTTTAAGTCAATGAATTAAGGAGATTAGTGAGTCCATTTTAGTAAATGTCTAATTTCTTCTCAGTATGCACAAAGATTTCATCCAGTTCGTTCATAAATCTTTTAGATCATAAGAGCTACTTGGCAACTCTTAGTCGTAAATCATATGCCTCTCTGGCCGTGCCTCCTTCTGCTCCTACTAGGTCTCCATCCGTCTCTTCCAGGCTGGCTGCCTGGCCTCCACCGTCTTGCTGCTCTTCCTCTTTTGATCCGAAAAACCGCTTCAACCATTCTTCTGCTTTGGACACCAAGTCGATTTTTTCTCTTTTGTCTTTGTATTTGAACTGCACCCCCTCTGGAAAAAGCCAGGCATATTGAATCTGGTTGATCTGAAGTGTTGAGATAAGCTCTTTATATGCTTTTCTTTTCTGTCGGACCTCAAATGGAACGTCCTTTAGGACCCTGATGTTTGCTGATCCCAGTTGTAGGGGTTTGGTTGCTGTCGCTTTAAGAATATCATCTCTTGTCTGTCGTCGGAGAAATTTGACAACAATCTCGCCCGGCAAGTTGTTTTGTTTGATATATTTAGAGTAGGATCGATATTTCACCTCGATCTCTGCATGCGCTTCAGCCGGTGTACTGCCGAGCGATAAAACGATTAGCTCAGCTGCCACATCTTTCAAAATTTCTCCTGCCATTTCAGCCACCCCTTGGAATCTGAGAGTTTTGTTTGCTTTTTCCATTTGTAGGTTCAGTAGCTTCCTCTC